CGATGTCCCCAACCTCAAGATTCCTTTGGGCACCGTATATTTGCGTGCCATATGCTTGGAGGAAAATCAATCCTTCATAATATGATTCGTGATGAAATTTACAGAATTCTGCAAGGGAGAAGCCTTCATTGCAGATTGGAATCCAATCATCTCTTGCCAGATTCGCCAGGTCAGCGCCCTGCAGATATTTTAACGATTCCTATAGCTCTCTGTAGACAATCTACTTGGGGTCTGATGCCGAGGATTGCGCTTGATATCTCAATTATCTCGCCTTTCCGGTCGTCTAATTTGGGGCAGGGTAGTTTATCAGCTGCTAAGTCTCAGGCGGAACGTAAACGTAGAGATCGCGAGACGCTCCAGAGATGCCATTCCCAGGGCATAGGATTTGAATCATTGGATTTTGAATATTCTGGAGGCCTGGAATCGGAGGGAGATCGTCTTCTGATTTCGCTTTGCCGATCTATTGATGATAATTTGCGCCGAAAGATTGGATCTATTTGCTTGCAGTGGGCTAGGGACCAAAACCAGAGTCCGCCTAAATTCCATGATCGTTCTATTCAATTCCTGCAAATATATTCTGAGGGAGGATGATCATTGAAATTGCTGATAGGATCCCATGCGCAGGATATCATGATTCTGAATCTGAAGAGACGAGACCTGAAGCGAAGAGATGATTGGAGATCGTTTGAGGGTCTGTTGTTGTGTTGTTGTTTTTCCTTCTTTCGGCGTCTTCTATCCCGTCTAATTCGTGGCGGGTGGTGGCGGGGTTTCACGATTGGAATGCGGACGCCGAATCTTTTGGTGATTCTTTTTCCCTCAAATGTATGGGAAGATTAAAAATCTCGAATAGCGAGATTTCTTCTAACACTTACAATTTGTGTCTTGCTTTGGTATAGCAGATGCCTCGATCGATTAATTCCAATGAATATCGAATAATATTATCAGAGAATGATAGCTTATCAAATTTGATAAATCGATATATTGATATCTTCAAAGAAGAGATAAATCATATCAATTTAAGATAGAAAATCGATAAATATAATGCCAGATAAATTCATATGAATATGAATTCAAGATATTAATAGATCGACGCCCAGATAGGTTAATCAATAAGTTCGTCGATAAATTAATGAATTGAAAATCTCAAAATTTGATAGACCGACGGATCTGTTTCAGATCGCTTGTCTATTATTTGATATAGATTGAGAAGGCATATAAATAAAGTGACAAACAGACCTCGAGAATAATAGAGAGGTGGAACGACAGATTCGATAGAAGATAGACGGTCATAACGAAAAATTGGCAGATCCATTGACAGAATCATAAACCGACAGACCGCAAGACTGACAGACCGATAGACCATCAGAACGGAGAGATTCCGATTCACAGAATGTTCATTAGAGGTCGACCCGCGGGGGAGGTCCAAAATCTCGGAGCGCACAACCAAAAATCTTCTAGATTCTTGGTCGCATCCTGCACTAGAAATCTCAAAGATTTTAGAGCCTTGCTTTTCTGAAGGGCCCCAAAATCTCGGGAATTTAGAGCCCTAAAAAGCCTGCAGGAAGCATTTTGAAGGAGAGCCGGAGAAGCTAGGCCCCGCGCAAGCGACATGGCCACAAGTGGCCGCGCTGTTTTATTGAGGTATACAGACAGACAGACAGACCTGCAAAGAGAGAGAGAATGGCAGATAGACAGAGACAGACATGCAGACCAGGTCTCTTGGCCGTTCATGGGGGCCTTGCAGCGCAAAGTTAAAGTCAATAAAATAGATGATGCGTATCCGGCTATTCTACATCATGGGACTCCCTTTAATTCCCCTCACTTCATATCGAAAATAGATATGGCACCATCACGGGAAATATCTACTTTAGTTCTCTAATCGCCCGTTTTGACGTCCATCCATCTCAGCTGAAGAATTCATAGGAATGAGATCTTCTGATGGTTGTTCTGTGGACGAGATACGCAAGCAAATGGATTTAATTTTTGAAGGTATTAATTAATGGACATCCAAGCGTTCTAGAATCTCGCAGAAGTACCCAACCATCCGTTCTTTTCTAACTGGTTCGTTCCGTGCTTGAAAGTCACCATCAGAACGTCGGCCTTCTGCATCTTCCTGCACTACTGACATGGGGGTTTCCCAAAATTAGTGGTACCCTGTATACTAAGGACTTTAGTATATTGGGGTCTATATTGGGGGGTCCCCTTCTTTTGGGAAACTGCCACATGGTTGGTTGGCCTCAAAATTTGTCCCCTTCTGGGTGCTATCATGGCTTCGGGGGTCCCTACTGATATCTGGGCCTCAAAGGGGACCCCTGTTGTTTAGGGTTTAGGGTTTTGAGACATCTCCACGTACATGGCGCTCCTCTGCCTCAGCTGGGATTGTAATCCTCGTCAAAATGTCCCACATAGACCTGGAAAGCAAGGCAGTGGAAGTCACGGCTGAGAATAATGTAGAAGCCTGAAGTTGCAAATGGGAGCGAATCGAACAGAAAATGAAATTGGAAACTGTGATCATATCCTACCTTATACAATGTTTAGTGTGGGAGACGAAATAATGATTAGTATCACGTTAAGGTCTACGTCGGGCATCTTATACACCCTATTGCTTGGAAACACCCCGATGGCCCAGCAACTCCAAAAGATTTTGCGACCATTACAAGAGCTCAGGGCAACCTCTGCTCAGCATGCCTGTCAAGTTTTGGTTTAGGGTTTGCGTTTGCACTTCCGTGCCTGGGGTTGGTGTGGAAACTTTTGAGAAACTCCTGTATGCCGTCACCCTTGACACATGGCTTGCGACGTTGAGGCACAAGGTTCGCCCTATCCGTTGCCGGGAACCTCAAAAAAAACAGAGGTGAGCTTGATGTGTGAAGATTGTCTTGAGTAACTCTTATCTATCTGTCGAATTCTCAGGATTTGTCTGCCTGAGGTTGCTGATTGTCATCTGAAAAGCGCAACAACTTGATCGAACATCCTGCCATCAATTTCGTTCCACCACCTGAGTCTAATGGCTCCACGTCCATGGCCGTGTGCCCTTCTTTCGTGAAGCAATTGCAGATGTGCTACCTAGTGCCACTATACTAGCACTTATGGAGGCCTTCACATTAAACATCCTCATTTTGAGCCTTGTAAACCATTGCAAGATCCCAGCGGCCATGTCATGTTCATTTTTCTGTTTGATTCTCCACGTTGTTGAACCCTACCTCTTGACCCTAACTAGTCGCGTCCATTTGAGGTTCCATGTCCTTTCCCATCTGGTTCTCTATTGTTTCAAGCATAGCGCCCGCAGGGCTCGGAAATGACCATGTCAGCCACAGCGAAGCAGGATGACAACCAGAAGCCACAGCTGGTGAGGTAATTGTTGACGTCTTGGGTGAGGGAGCAGTTAATGATGACGTCATGAAGTCTCAGGCTCCGGACCCTGCACTACCATCGACTTCCTTCCAAAACATGTTTGAAAAGAGCCATGTGCTTTTTACACATGCCTGCGAAGGCCCACAGCGACACAGCGCATCAAAGGCTCCTCCAACTCCTCAGCCCCTAGGCCGGGTGCAAGGGCAAGGGCAAGCATCAGCACTCACCAAGCTACCGATTGCCAGCACAGGGCCAGAGCCTATGCAGTGTTTGCAATGCCGTTGCCCTTCCGCTTCCTCCCAGGAGAATCTGACAGCATGCCAGCTTGACGCTCAGCTGCACAAAGCACCACTTGAGCGTTGGAAGGTCCAACAGCGTGGCAGCTCCAGCAGATGAAGGTGGAACAGCAACTTGCTGAATTAACCGGAGTCAAGCTCATTCGCCCGTTTCGCGGCAGCTGCCCGCCTAGCACCCGGCCTAGGATGTAAGGCTCCAAAGAACGTCTGCGTCCCGATTGGGTTCGCGTGATGCCAGCAAGTTGGTGTGCAGGGCCACACAGATGCTCTGAGGCCGCATTGGGTCCAACCCTTCCAAACCTTTTTCATGAGGCTTGAGAAAACAACCGAAGGATCCAAGCGGCTTGCAAAAACGCGTCATTGATAACATAGCAGGTGCCCTACACACATCGGGGCATGGCTGATGACTGTTGCCAGGCTGTGAAAGTGTGGCGGGCTGCAGTTCGCCGTCACAATGCAAGCTTATTTCCTCAATTGAGATCATCCCCGGCGTCCATCCGATCCTATCTTATATGTCTCCAAACAACGTATGTAACAGCACCGGAGGGCCAATGTAGGGGAGAGGTATAGCTCTGTCTTGGGCACGGGCCAAATTCAGCGTGTCCCTGATCTGTGCCTCTTCAATCGTCTGCCTCAGATCATCCAGTACGGCTGCTTTATGCCACTTTATGCTGTTCATGTTGTAGAAAACACAAAGTTGGCTCGAGGCATAGACTGGACCACTCACTGGCAACTAGTAAACTGCCCTCGCTTACATGGGCCTGCAGTCAGCAGCGGCGTATCAAGTGTCTGCATTATTTCAAGCTCATGTGTCTGAAGGTCTTTGATGGCAAGCTGCAAGCTTGCCAAATAGCCTCCAGCTTGCAGATACTTACGCATCAAGCTGAGATGCGGCTCAAAGTATGCTATGGTATTGTACGGTATAATCATGTGTAGTACAGCATAATATGATATAGTAAAGTTGTCAAGATCAAAAGAAAGCACTACTGGCAGTCAGGACATTTCTTTCATGGAGGCTGATACTGGTCTTTCTCAGGGCGCTGCTCTCGGAACAGGACGTCCTGGATGGTTGGACGAGACAGCAAAGTTCAAGCAAGTCCAAGATGACAACTTCTACTATGGCGGATTGGCAAATGCAAAATTTACCATTAGGGATTCAGTGACCCGAAGTTTGATGTGCCCGCCTTTATCTGTAGAATGATAAGGCTTCAGAGCAAATTTGAATCTAAGCCTATTCCAGACATGTGAGAAGATAGTGCAAGCAATGTCGGGAGTTTCGAGTGTGAGGCAGGATGGCCAAGGTGCTAGGAAATCGGGAGACATGCATGTGCCCGAGCCAAAGCAAGGTAAGATCCCCGTGAACTGAGGGAAAAGGTTAAAAGATTCGGGGCGTCTAGCATGCTTAAGGGGGAGCCAGAAAAATACAGGCACGTTTCTGATGATCACATAAGAATCATTTTGTCAAATCTGCAATTGGGGCCCTACTCAGCAAGACCTCACATACACCTTACATCTCAAGCGGTCAATGACACCATGACCCTCAACCCTAAACCCTGAAGGCTTCGACACCTAGCCTAAAACAAACGCCAAGGCCGCGATCCGACACTAGGGCAAGAAATCATAGAGGGTACCCCGGAAAAAGGCCCATCATCGTAGAGGGCACCCAAAAAAACAATAATGAAGGGTACCTTATGAAGCCCATAATTGTAGAGGATACTCCCACAACTCTGAAATGAACCCAGAACCAGCCTTCGGGTCTGTGTAGTCCACGGGGAGCAGCGCGCCCGTGCCGTTAGGCGCCTTTCTGGGCAGGCCCTTGGTGAGGATCGTCTCCTGCTCCACCATGGGGTTGGGGGGTTTAGAGTTGAGGGTTAGTAGGGGTTTGGGGTTTCGGGTATAGAGCTCAGGTTTCGGATTTAGGGCTTCAGGCTTAGCATCAGGGCCTGCATTCAGAGCTGGTTTTTTGCTATTCCGCACGACGAGGGGCGCACGACGAGGGGTCGTGCCAAGCATCAGTGTCGGGGTGTCCGCTTCGGGGTTTGGATCTCAGGCCTCAATTGTTGAGTTCGGCTTCAGGGTAAATTCAAGGCTTAGGTTTCAAATTTGGGTTCCCTTTGCTAGATGACAACCGGAAGAAAATTCAGGGAAGTCCACCGTGTGGGTTGTTGGATACTCTGACGACTGATTGTATTGAGGACATTTAAAGACCTTGTGAACCATCGGTCGGGCGAAATGTGTGGAACTTGTGCTGACATTGCACGTCAGGGAACACGATGCGTGCCACAAGTCTTTATGTGGTACTAAAATAACAAGGGCCGATGCCATTCGGGCCCGTCTGCTCGCAAGCTAGAAGCCTTGCTTCTCAAATACTCCAGCCTTCTAAGTAGCAAAAGGCCCAAACTGTAAAATCAGCACCCTGTAATTGTTACAACTCTGACCGTGATGGTTTCCTCGAATTGGGGGCTAGGGCTAAAGCACTATTTGTGGTCAGCCCCCACCAGCCATCAGACCCTGACAAGTCCTGTAACAGGTCAGATTGTGAATACGTTTACCTTTGACTTCTGTTGATAGGCTTCTAAAACCAGCAGTCAAACAGATCCTTTAACCACGATTGGAAAGCCAGAACAGAACAAGCAGCAAAGGCAAAGCGTCCTTGCGGTTCAATCCAGTTCGAGAACAGAACGTGTCAACGAGGTCGCCGACAGTCCTGGCGTTGTATCCGAAAAGAACACAGGGCATATCAGGGTCTGGTTTACGGGTTTAAGGTGGGTGCAGGCTGTTCAGACTTTGGAGAGTCTTGAGGCTGTGGGTTTCTTTCATGGGTTACTTTGCAAAAGCATGCTGGGCAAAAAGGGGGGGGGGCCATCGGGTAGCAAATGCGAAGCTGCCTGGGCAAATGAAAGCAAAACCTCAGAGCACATGCATCGTTGGCAAGCATTCGTTAAGCTTTGTGGGACTGGGGCATGCGATTTTACTTTAGGTTTGCCCGTGCTCTGCTTGGCTAGATGCAAGTCCTGCTAGACCTGACTGTTAAACACATAATTGACATGGCCCTTAACACATCCCGTCACATCCTTGAACCTTGCAACTTCCTCCCAAAATAACCACAGCTTATTGAAAAATGGAGAAACACGCCAAACACTAATGAACATCCAGAGATCAAAAGCCTGGGCTATCGCCCCGGTTGGATCATGTCGCGGAAGTTTGCACAATTGCACTGTTTGGGTTGATTACGCCCATGCAAGCGGCCATAAGTGCTTTATGAGGAAATGTGGGTAGGAATATCCATATCATCTCATACCTAGGGCTGTGGCATCCAAATCCAGAGTGAACTCCTTCGTCGATTTCCCCACAATAGCCTTGCAGATGCGCACGATCTCGACGCAAAAACTTTCCACGTCAAGGCAAGACCCTTAATTCTCAAACCAAGCAACAAATAAATCTGCAAACCATATCCTCAAACCCTTCAAGCCTTGCAATACTATGCGGGGAGTTCTCAAAAGGAAGGCCCTTAACCAAAACACATGACCCCAAAAGGCATCCATAATCTTGGATCTACCAAAAACTATTACAACATGATAGAGCTTCCTGTATACTACAGTAGTTTCCATTTTCTTTTCCATTTTCCCTATATAAACCCCAATATATTCCCTATAATCCCTATATAATCCCTATATAACCCCCATATAAATGGCCCTGGGGAATCAGAGACATGCCAGGCTCACGCAGCTTTGGGCATCATGCAGTTGAAGATAGGTGGGTCCTTTAGCCACCTGTGGGGGCTTCCAGGGCGGGAGCTACGGTTGGGTGAGAGTTTTGGGCTCAGGACGCAGGGCTTAGTGCTTTGGATTTAGGAACTAGGATTTGGGGTTTGGGATCTCAGGGTTAGCGTCTAGATTTGGGGGCAAAGGATGCAGGACTCAAAAGGCTGGGGCCTTGGGGCTTAAGGCTTCGAGCGTTTTCATGCTTCCTTCTTGGGGGTTGTCCAGGGTCCAGGGACTACTGAACAGCACAGCCAGATGGGGAACTGAGTCGAACGACGAGAAGATGGGGATCAAGGGGTTCTCAAACCATAGAACCCTATTAGAATATAGCAGTTTCCATTTTATTTTCCATTGTCCCAATATAACCCCTAGAAACCTCCATAGGCAATTCAGTCGCCTGATGTGAATCATCTGCGACGCGCCATCGTTCGCCTCTGGGTCAATCCTTAGAAGGAAACAGGTGAGAAGCCGAACTAGGGGCAAAATGTCAAGGCTTCAGTTTCGGGACTAAGAAGCTGAGGCTTGGAAATGTGGATTTGAGGCCAACGTCCCGATTTGGGGTTCAGTGGTGAAGATACTAAGATTCCCTGTCCATGCTGTCAGCTTCTTGCAAGACGTCCGTGAAAAAGTAAAGCATAGCATAGAGCATCCATCCTTAACGATGCTCCGGAGCCATAGCTTCTGGCCGATCCACAAGGCAGACACCCCAGAATCTAAAGCTTTAGGCTCTTGAATCTAAGTGACTAAGATCCTGAAGCCTAATCCCGAAACCCCAAATCCCTAACCCCCAACCCCAAACCTACAGCACCCTAAACCCTCGACCCCCAAAACCTACATCCTACACCCTAAACTCTCAACCCCCCAAACCTACATCGTGCAACAAAACCGTAAACCCTGACCCCTAAACACTAAACCCTGAACCCCAAATCCTAAACCCTAAACTCTGAACTTGAAACCCTAAACCCCAAGCTCTGAACCCGAAACCCTAAACCCCAAAAACAACCGGCCCCAACCCACCCAGGCTCCCCGGCAGGCAGGGACCTCGGAGACCGAAGCCAGGGCCGGAGACCAGGGCCCAACCTGGGCACTAAGGGTTTGGGGCTTAGGATATTTAGTTTAGGGTTTAGGCGCTTCTGGCTTTGGTTTTAGGGTGTAGTGTAGGGTTCAGGGTTTGGGGTTTGGGTTTGGGGTTCAGGGTGTAATGCGAAAATCTGGGAAAGTTACCTCTACCCCCCCCTAAGGGGATAGCACAGGGGAGATGTAAGAACATATCGGGATATACAATAACAAACTAGACAGGGCTACATATCGGGACATATAGGTATATACAAAGATATGTAGGGGTATACACCAGGATATATGGAGATGTGCCAACTTGTAAGGGCTCAGGGTTTAAGGTTAGGGGGTTACGCTTTTTCAGAGATCATGCATGGACTCTTAATGGGGACCCTTGTAGCTTGTGGGGGATTGTTTTGGCACTACTGAGGAACATGGGGAGGATATGAGGCGACATTAGGCCCATGTGGACGTGGAGTTAGGTAGCCACTCCGATGATGCATCAAGGAAGGTAGAGCCAGGAAGTAGCTGAGATTGAGGTTTCAAGCTCACGGCAGAAGACGTAGAATTGTCTGGTGAGTGCACCATTCAGAGGTAAAAGTGATTTACAGCAAGATCGCTGGGTATATAGGTATGTTGCGAAACAGCTGTGTAATCCAGACTAGTACTTGTAGTTCTGAAGAAGCATCGACTGTCTCTTATGGCATGGCTACAACATCAGCATCCTCCTGCGAAGGTAATGACAGCGTCGGACACTTTTTCTACGTGTTCTCTGCGAGAAGTTCCACAAACTTTGGTTCGAGGCCCTACTTCGCTAATTGCAAAGCCCAGAGGAAGAGATGCGGGAATTCAGAGATTTGGGTTGAATATCCTAGTTACTACAAGCCCTGTTCTAGACTAAAGCTTGCTGTCGCGTGGCCCATCTCTCCAGGAGATCTCGCGACGTCCACCTCCCAGCAAACACTTCGAAGCAAGTAAGACATGATAACAAACTAGTGCCCAATGTCCCTGCCCAGGCTTAAAGCTCAGCAAAGCTTTACACAAACCTGCGCAAGGCACTTGTTGAATTCTGCCTGTGGAGTGGAAGTAAAATCCTAAAACCCTAGGACCCTAAATCCTAACATCCTAGAACCCTAAACCCTAAAATCCTGAAATCTTTGGGTGGCGCGCGGATTCGGAATCTAAAAACGCGGATTCGGAAACTAAAAGCGCGGATTCGGAAACTGGAAAACGCGGATTCGGAAACTGGGATTCGGAAACTACTGCGCGCGGATTCGGAAACTGGAAAGTCGGATTCGGAAACTAAAAGCGCAGATTCGGAAACTGTAAAACGCGGATTCGGAAATTGAGAAACGCGGATTCGGAAACTGAGAAACGCGGATTCGAAAAACTAAAAACGGATTCGGAAACTATTACACGTGGATTCGGAAACTACTGCGCACGGATTCGGAAACTACTGCGCGCTGAGAGTTGTAAACTGGAACTGGTAACTTGCAATATTTCTCTCGCGCAGCGGCTTCCCCAGTGGTGCAAAGCAAAGCAAGGTTTGGGATTTTGGGTTTCGGATTTGGGAAATTTTAACATATGTCTCTACCTGGCTTTGCATCTGTCACTCCATTCATCTTATCGCAAGGTGAGAAGGGGGGTGGTTTTGACATATGTCTCTATCTGGCACTCCATTCATCTTATCGCAAGGTGAGAATTGACATATGTCTCTACCTGGCTTTCCCTCTGTCACTCCATACATCTTATCGCAAGGTGAGAAGGGGGGTGTTTTAACATACGTCTCTTCCTGGCTTTGCCTTTGTCACTCCATTCATCTTATCGCAAGGTGAAAAGGGGGAGTGGGTTTAACATATGTCTCTACGTTGCTTTGCCTTTGTCACTCATCCTCTACCTCTCTTTGCCTTTGTCACTCATCTCATGGCAAGGTGA